TATGATAATTGACATACAATATTATTCTACTTCAGCTTCAGGTGTACAGCGCATTGGTCATGCATCTGCACAGTCTGTGAAGTGATCCCTTTGATAAGTCCAGTGTCCATCTGGCACCTTACATAATCTTTACAATGTTGATTATATTCCCCATTCTGTATTTCATATCCCCATGACTATATTGTGTCTACTAATTTGCTCCTTCTAGTCCCTTCACCTCTCCTCCATCCCCTTCCCCTCCCATCTAGCAACTGACAGTTTTTTTTTCTGTATCTCTGAGTGTAGGATTGTTTTGTTTGCTCATTTATTCTGTTCTTTAGATTCCACATATAAGTGAGATCATATGATATGTGTCTTCCTCAGTCTGCCTTATTTGTCTGAGTGTAATATTCTCAAGGTCCATCCATGTTGTATCAAATGGTAAGATTTCATTGATTTTTATAGCCAAGTAATACTTTATTGTATAAATGTACCACATTTCTGTATCCAATCATCTATTGTTGGGTATTTCAGTTGTTTCCATATCTTGGCTATTGTGAATAGCGCTGCAATAACCATAGGGGTGCATATATTTGTTTCAAATTATTATTTGGGATTGCTTTGGATAGATACCCAGGAGTGGAATTGCTGGGTCATGAAGTAGTTCCATTTTCAATTTTTTAGGTAAGTCCGTACTGTTTTTCATTGTGGCTGCACCAATCTGCAATCCCACCAACAGTGCATGAGGTGGGATTTCTCCACATCCTCGCCAACACTTGTTAGTAGTTGATTTATTGAATTTTCCATCTGCATGAGCAGGTGTCTAAAACTACTATTCTGAAATTCCAGAAGGTGATCCTTGAGGATGTGGAGTTTGAGTCTGCACAAGGCGCCCAAGTGACTGTGAGTGGTCACAGCACAGTTCTTTGTCTCCTGTTTTGTGACAACGGGCCAGCAATAATCACAAATATCTGCCTGTAGAGTTGTTCCTCATATTCCATTCTTATCCTTTGAACATCTGCAGGGTCTGTAGTAATATCCCATTTCATTCCTCATATAGGAAATGTGTCATTTCTCCTGTATTATTCCTCAAACTGATCGAAGTTTTTCAATTTTATTGATCTTTTCAAATATCCTGCTTTTGTTTCAGTGGCTTTCTTTATTGCTTCTCTATTTTCAATTTTATTGATTCTATTTTGCTCTTTCCTTTATTATTTCCTTCCTTCTTCATGCTTTCTGTTGATTCTGTTCCTCCTTTTCTCACTTCTTGAGGTGGGCACTTACATTACTACTTCAGACTCTTCTTGTTTCTAATGCCACACATGGGTTGCCTTCTGCGCCTGGGAAGTTGGGAGAGTGGGACCTGCGATGCCTGGATGCTGTGTCCTCCCTCTGGGCCTCAGGTCCCTGGCCATTCTGCCTTCCTTTCCTCTTTTCAGTGTCCTCCTCTGCTTGTGCCTGGTGTCATTCTAGGGGTCAGAGTTGTACTGAACAGGGAGAGCAGGAGAGGTGAGTCTACACCATCTGGTCAGGACCCTCTGGGTTTGTTCTGGCTTCTCCATCTCCTGCTGGAGCTCAGAACAGGACGGTTACTTTCAGGGGATCTCAGTCTGCCTGACCTAGCACACTTGCTAAGAACTGAGGCAGAAAATGGTTTTTTTTGTAGACTAGGTTGGCTGAATGGAGCAGTGCTAGATGTCTATATGACCCTCCACGCTGGGATGTCACAGTTCTCCCTGGCGACTAAGGGCTCCAGCCACTGCAGTTCCAGTCCGATGGGCCTGGTGTGAGGATGCACATCTTATAGGTCACAGTTAAGCTGTTGGGTGTTTTATAATATTTCTGTCTTAATGGACCCTTCTCTGTCAGTATAGCATAATCCAGTAAGTTAACAGAGTTTTTGGTTTATTGATTGGTCTTGGTTGTGGGAGAAAGATTCTGATTCTTCAAATTTTTTTATTCTTTTGCTTTTCGGGACCCTAAGTTTTCCTCTCTCCCCTTTTTCCTTTTTCCCTTCATCACTCAAATTCAAAACAGTACTTCTTCTTTTTTACCTTTTCTACCCGCAGTTTAGGCACCCGAATCATGCCTATCCCTTTAACCTCGTGTTCTTCTGAAATGTTCTTGCCTCCCTGAGTTAGATGCCTATTGCCACTGTAACCTCCTGTTTTTTTGGCTTAACACAAGACCAATTTATCATCTTACAGTTCTAGAGGTCAGATGTCTAAAACGGGTTGATTAGGCTTTGACCTTCTGGCCCCTCTAGGGCAGCGGTTTTCAACTTTCCTAATGCCGCCACCCCGTAACAGTTCCTCATGTTGTGGTGACCCCCAACCATAAAATTATTTTCATTGCTTCTCTATAACTGTAATTTTGCTACTGTTATGAATTGTAATATAAATATCTTTATGGTTTCCGATGGTCTTAGGCGACCCCTGTGAAAGGGTCATTCGACCCCCAAAGGGGTCGTGACCCACAGGCTGAGAACCACTGGTCTAGGGGAAGATTCTCTCTGAGTATGACTCCTCTTGACACCTCGTATAAGTAGAACCATACAGCATTTGTCTACCTGTGACTAGCCTATTTCACTTAACCTAATGCCCTCAAATTTAATCCATGCTGTAGCCTTGCTGTGACGAGTTGGCCAATTTGGAAAAGAAAGGACAGAGCAGGATGGATGCTCTCACTCAGAATCCCATTTATTCTCCTCCCATGCACCGTTCCTCCAAGCATTCATTCACCCACGCATTTATATTCTCACTCATCATGCATTTACGCATGCACGTATCTGATAAACAATACCTCAGTCCTCCTCTGTGGCAGGCCTTGGGAAGATGACCCTCTCACCAAGGACTCCCAGGCCCCCACAGTGGACTTCCTGTAGTAATTGTCTGCTTTTTCTGGGCTGTGTCAGTTGCGTCTGCAGTGACAGTGTCTCAGTCTTCAACCTTCTCAGACTTGGTGGCCATTACCTGCCACGTGCTGAGATTCTACCCACAGAGTGTGCGTCCACCTGACTGGAGAACTGCCATATATTCAAGGGTGCTGAGCAACCCTAGTCCAAGCAGAATAGTGATGGGACCTATACCCTGGAAAGCTTGCAGTTGGTGAATGTGTCATTGCAGGGGTCTGAGCGGGTTCTCGCCTGTAAGGTGCAACACGAGACACAGCCTCCCATCTGGGCCAACCTCATACTATCCACAGCAGTCCGCGCCACCTGCAAGCCCATTGGGAGCACAGGCAAACTCGCCTCCACTTTTGGATGCAGATGGGTCATCTCTGTCTCCTGAGAGGCCTGAGGTATTTAAACTCACAGAGCCCCATTGTCTACTTCTGCTCCTAGGTCCAGCGGCACCTGCTGTTATCTTTGTGGCTGTCCTCCTGGGCTTCAAGATGCTATTAGTGATGAGTTTCACAGTCACCTACATCTACAGGTGGTGGAAACTCTAACAGGTAAGTTGGGGACAGGTGATAGTTTTCAGGGAGGGTGGTCAGGGCTGGCAAAGGAGTCCAGGGTGCACCCACATAGTCACATGGTCCCCAGAAGTCTAATTCAGCCTCATGAGAGGGTTGTGAATACACTTATTTTCTCTAAGTCTTTGAAATTCTCAGAGACTTCCAACTCTTACACATTGTGTAGTTCCCTAGAGATTGAAGGTTTCCAAATTGAGTTCCTTGGGTTCCTGAGGATACATAGATGAAGGTCAAAGCTTTGAGACCACAACTCCAAAGTGTTCACCTACAAACTATTATATATTTCAGTTTATGCTATGTCTTTGGATATAGCATATCCAAAATAAGGATATAATGGCAAAAGCAGCCAATAGACCCTATTTGAAGGACTTGGAGATGCTGGCTAGTGGCAAAGAAGAATGTATGTAAGTTCAGATATCAGAGAGCAGTGTTGGGGAGTAGTGACTAAGCTTTATTTCTGTTCTGCACCACAAATGCAGACCAAAGAGAGTGGCTGCTACTTAGTAGATGCTCAATAAAAGTTTGTTGAATGAATCAATGAATAGATTGGTGAATTAATGATTTTTCCTACAGCTCCTGCCTGCCCTGCAATACACTGCCTCCTGCCCTCTCCAAGGGGCTCACGTGGGAAGAAGACTCTGCAAGGACCTAGAGGTTACCCAAGACCCCTGCCCTTCACTCTGCCAGCCCCACCTCCAGAGAGACATGCTCCCTCCACACACCCTCCTGATGGTCCTTCTCTCTGATGGTAAAGCTGAGTCAAGGATGGACTTTGGTCATGGGGACTCAGGCATGTCTGGACCCTGTGCATTGAGCTTCAAACTGGCCCTGCCTCCACCCAAAAGAGAATGAAGAAGATAAGACAACAGGTTTCCATCCTGCCCTGGTCATGCACAACCCTTAATATTCAAAGCAGATTTTCCTTTTATCCAGAACTTTTGCAAGTGTGATTTTATTTTAACACATATATGCTTGAAATCATCAAGTTGAATAAACATTTTTCTATTCTGAAATACGTAATGAATAACATAAAAAATACCAATGGTCCTACTATCTTATCTTTTTAAAATACCATAGTAATATTTTGCCTTATGTTCTCTGTTCTTTTTGAAAAATCTATCCTGAATTTGTGTTAGCATTCTCCAGCATGATTTTATACTTTCACAACACGTGTAAATTATTAAGCAATATTTAGTATTGCTTTCCATGTTTTAAATTTTCTATAAATGCTCTTATGCTGTATACTCTCTGGAACTTTCTTACTGTCATTCTTTCTTTCTTTCTTTCTTTCTTTCTTTCTTTCTTTCTTTCTTTCTTTCTTTCTTTCTTTCTTCCTTTCTTTCTTTCTTTCTTTCTTTTAAAGATTTTATTGGGGAATTGGGGAAGGGGAACAGACCAGTTGCTATCCTTTTGTTCTTCAGTCTAGTTGTGGAGGACGTGGCTTCACTGGCCCATGTTGGTATTATCATTGTGCTCTTCCCAGGTAAGGCAGATTGGTCGCTGGCCATTGGACGGCCGCTCACAGTGGATCTTGGCAATCCACTGCATCAGTGGCTTCAGCCTACGCCATCGCCAGCAACTCACTGCAGCCCAGCTCCAGGATGAGCTGTTGTTCATCTTAGCTGTAGAGGGCACAGCGTCACTGGCCCATGTGGGATCCAAACCAGGGCCCTGATTCTCAGAGCTGGCATCCCAAGCCAGCTCTTAACCAATGTGCCACTTGGCCAGCCCACATGGAACTTTATCTTTTATGCTTAACACAGTTTTGTGTGTTTTAATGTTGATATGGGTAGCTCCATTTTATTAATTTTCCACTGCTCTATAGCTTGCTATTGTAAGATATGCTACAATTTATTGATTCTTCTCATGATGGATGTTGAAGCTTTATGTAATGTTTTGCTAGTACAACTTCACAGCAAACATTCTTATCTTGGTTTTCTCAGTACATGTCGGAGAGGCCCTTTTGTTCGTCTAGTGTGGTCAGCAAAGCAGCAGTGTTGGTATCATTGGGGAGGTTTTGTTATATAAGTGTTTTCAATTTTTGATCAAGCTTTGCTCTTTCCATTTATGCCTTTGACCTAGCTACATTTCTCTGGAGAGTGTTATTATAGGTGGTGAGAATCTTTTGTTTTATTTCCACAAGGATATATATTCCAGCACTCAAGGATCTGCACGGCCACCTTTGCCATATATCACATTTCTATAAATGTGTTGTTTTTTTGATGAGCTCTCTGTTTCATTGAGCTACGTGTTTATCAGAACTACCCTGATTTAACTAGAATAGCTTTATAATAATTTTGATACCTCTTGTAGGCAAAGCTACCCACCTTTTCTTGTTTTCTCAAGTAGTTGACTATCACTGGTCCAAAATGCATTTTAGAATGACTGTGTCAAGTTTTATGTAAAACCCTTTTAGAATTAGTATTTGATTGTATTAAATGTATATATTAATTCAGACAAATTGATATATTTTCAATATTGAGTTTCCCACTCGTGGACATGATACACCTCTGTTTATGTTTTCTTTTTTTTTTCTTTTTTTTTTTTTTTTTTTTTTTTTTTTTTTTTTTTTTTTTTTTAGCTGAGCCATCCTGCTACCTGTTGGCAGCTCAGCGGCTGCTCAGCTCGGGCTGGACTCGAACCGCTGTTGCTCAGAGCTCAAACTCTTGAGCGAGCTCTTAACCAACTGACCCACTCGGCCGGCCCTAGTTTATGTTTTCTTCTATGACTTTCAATTCACAACTTTACATGTTTTCCTCCATAATGGTTTTATGCATCTCTAATTAGAGCCGTTAAAGACACTTTAGGCTGCTGGAATGTTAAAACTTTTAATTACTTTTTGGGGGGGTTTTTGACTACTGTTTAGAATGCCGGTTGATTTGATCATCACTCTTATACCCAGCAAGCTTATGAAACCTTTCCTAGTGCTAGTAGTATGGGCATTCTTTTTATTTGCAACTCTTACAATACTAATTATACAGAATTTATTTCCAGCTTTATCACAGTTATATATGCAGGTGTTTCAAGAGACAAATAGTTATACAAGTTCTACATATGAAAACTGGAATCTCCCTAACCTCCCGCCATTTCCAACCTCTAAGGGGGACCATTTTCAACTCTTTAAGCTGAATTGTTAAAATTTTATGCCGTACCTCATCCTCATGTAGCATGCTTGTATTGCATTCTTTTTTTTTCTTTTGTTTCAGGTGTACAAAACAATGTAATAGCTAGACATTTACACCCCTCACAAAGTGATAACTCCCTCCCGTCAACCTACTACCCCTCTGACATCGTATACAGGTGTTGTAATTCCATTGACTCTATTCCCTATGCTGTAGTCCACATCCTGTGACTATATATATATTAAATGATAGTTGACATTCAGTATTATTCAGCTTCAGCTTCAATGTACACAGCAGTGGTCAAGCATTCACACTGCCCATGAAGTGGTCTCCCTAATAAGACAAGTGCCCATCTGATGCCCTATAAAATCTTTACAACGATATTGATTATATTCCTCAAACTGTCTTTTGTATCCCCGTGGCAATATTGTGGTTACTAATTGTGGTTTCAAATCGCCTCACCTTCTCCCTCATCCCCACATCCCTCCTATCTAGCAACCCTCAGTTTTGTCTCTATGTCCCTGAGACAGTTTTCTGATGTGTTTGCTCATTTATTCTGTTCTTTAGATACCACATATAAGTAAGATCATATGGTATTTGTCTTTCTCAGTCTGATTGATTTCACTTACCATAATGTTCTCTATGTCATACAGATGGCCTACAGACATAGAAAAAATATGCTCAACCTCACTAATCATTAGAGAAATGCAAATAAAACCACAGTGAGATACCACCTCACTACGGTCAGAATGGGTATCATCAATAAATTCACAAACAACAAGTGCTGGCGAGGCTGTGGAGAAAATGGAACCTTAGTGCACTGTTGTTGGGATTGCAGATTGGTGCAGCCACTGTGGAAATCAGCATGGAAGTATCTCAAAAAACTGGAAATGGAACTACCTAGTGATCCAGCAATTCCACTCTTAGGTATCTATACAGAGAAATCCAAAACACTAACTCAAAAAATTATATGCACCCTTATGTGTATTCCTTTGCATTCTTGATTTCTCACTCTTAGGACTTACTATGGACTTCCCACAATGGAAGGTGGGGATATAGGCTCTGTTGCTCCTGACCTCACATGCACACTTTCTGTTCCCCATCACCCTGGTATCATTATATTATAATTTTGGATAGCTGAATAGTCAGTGTCTACATTACAATAACCATAAGATGGGCATTTACAGCTGAGTCTTGTAACATTCCCAGTTTTGCTCTTGTTAATGTCTCACATGTAGGTCAGTGTCACCACCACCATGACCAGGATGCAGAGCAATCCCATAACCATAAAGTTCCCCTGTGCTCGCCTTTTATAGTGACACCATCCCGACCGTACCTGACCTCTGCAAATATCAATCTGCCCTCTATCCATTAGTTTCAAGATGTGATATAAGTGGACTCATACTATATATGATGTTTTGAGATTTACTTTATTCAGGCAACAAAATGCTTTCAATAAACTTACAAGTTGTCGCACATGCTGAGTGGTATTTCCTTGTATGGAAGCACCACACACCACAGTGTGACTAACTGTACACTTATTATTGGGCCTTTGTGGTTGTTTCCAGTTTTTTGCTATTACAAGGAAAGCTGCTATGAATATTCGTGCACAGGTTTTTGGCTGGACATAAGTTTTATTTCTCTGACATAAATGCCTGAGAGTGCAATTGCTGGGTCCTATCACACCCTCTCCTGAAAGAAGTCAGGATAGGATTTCTTTTGTTGGATGGAGACACTTAAAAGTTCTGAGGTTACATTGCACTCTCGTTTGGGCTAAGTTTTACCAGGTCCACCAATAAAGGGTTACCATAAGGAGTCATTTCAGGGGAGACCTGATTCCCCACAACACTGACCCAGGTGAACACTCTTCCTTCCTCCAGCTGAGTAGCTCTTGGTGAGGCTGGAGCAAGTGAGGCCACAGGCTGACCACATCCTAGGGTCCTGGGGGTGGAGTTCAGGACACAGCCCACAAGCCACAGGTCTTTCTTGGCCTGGGCTCCCAAATGGGGCATCACCACGAAGACCTCAGATGGGGTGAGGGGCCCAGTAGAGAGCAGAGGCCCCTAGTGGGGGAGTAAGCACTATTTCCTGTGGGCCTCTGCAAGTTTCTCTAAAATCTTGACATGAATAACTGTTCACTTTGTAGCTGCCTTCACTGCCTAATTCTATTTCACAATCTAGAAGCAGGAATTGTCTAGAATCCAGTAGCAGGTTACTGTCTCACAGCCATTTCAGCCCATCCTAGACACTTCCTGTTATATCACAGGAGGTGGGGCTTCACTCCTCTCACAGAGCAGAGAGTCCAGGTTCTCCAGCCCAAATGTGGACAGAGCTGCCTGCTCAGGCCTCCAGGATGACCATCCCTGCCTCCAGGCCCCACCCTCCTCCTTGCCTGCTGCTGACTCTACTGCTGGGACTCACAGGTGAGCATGCCTTGGGGTATAATCCCCTCTCCTAGCGCCCTGGTCCTCCTGCTGCCCCTGGTATTTTAGGGCCCCCAGGGAAACACAGTGTGTCACCCAGTGTTGCCACAAAGGCTGAGGACCGGGCATTACCTGAGAGCATAAAATCAGGGATCTGAGCTTTTTTTCTGTGGGTCCATTGCCTGCAGTGGTTACCAGAGGCATCACAACAGATGATGCTTCAAACCGCAACAGCAACAGCTTTGTGTGTATTAACTTGTCTAATCCTCACAGCGTCCCTGTATGACAACTATGACCATTTTCCCTAATTTGCAGATGAGGCAGAGAGAGGAACTTGTCCAACGTCACCTGTGTACGGAAGTGGTTCAGCCAGGATTCAAGTTTAGTCCAACCAGCTCCAGAGTTTGTTCTTTCAACCGTGTTATGCTGCTCAGCTTCTAAGTGGAGGCTG